TCATTGTTGTCTTATAGATTCATGGTTTTCTTTGTCTGCAATAAAATTCTTCAACAATCTGTTGCTCCCACTCGCCGTCATACATTGCTTCAGTCGGTATACGTTCATCAAAGTGGAGGTATTCTACAACGCTACACTGTGTTTGCGGGTCTGCAACTTGCTAAATAAGGTTTCCGAATTCTTTGTTGTCGTCTGCTTCTTCGTCATCATAAATTTCAATCTTGAAGCCCCCTTTACGGAAACATTCGAAAGCACAAAATTGTCGATCAGAATCGTTATGGAAAGAAGAAAACTCAATGTCTTTTGAGCGTTGAAGAAGTGATAATGCAGTGTGCTTCACCGCAATTGAAGGTGATGACCCCGATCATTTGTTTATATCCGGGGTCATTATACTGTCCAGACACCACGCGATGCGTGGGCGTGTGGTGTGAAAAATGTAATCAGTTGCCATTGTTTTACACGGGACGTTACTTGTAGTGTGAGATTTGGTATTGTTTCTGTGACGTTCGCGGAATTTGGACACAATGCACACTTTTTAGGTCGGGCAGACCGAATTACTAGACAGCGGATGTGGTGCAAATGGTCGGATGGTCGATGTATTCAGTGTGAATATTGGACTTGGGACCGATCAATGCGGCCGGTGTTCGGAGTAAACAGTGGTCGGATTTCACAGGTTGTTTTAACATAGGCGTCTATGGAGAAATTTCGGGGCTACATAAATCGGTCGGTTCTGACAGTAGGTCGGTTTATCCAGGGGTCGGTTTTGACAGGTTTTACTGTACTATACACCATACAAAAATCTAGACGCCTAGACCCTCAGAAAGTGGTCAAACAGCCACTTCCGGTTTTAATTCAATCCAATATGGCTGCCAAACTAATTGACCAATCCAAATTCTGAAAGCATGTGGCACCAGTTCACATTAGAGACTATCAGTAGAGAGCATTATCAGATCATTCCGTTCAGCGGTTTTCTCAAACGGCTTGACGAAAAAGTTACGGAAGAAAGAAAGAAGAAAGAAAGAAGAAAAAACCGGACGATAATAATAGGGGCCTCGCCCTTTGGGCTTGGGCCCCTAAAAACCGAACAATAAGAATAGGGGCCACGCCCTACAGGCTTGGGCCCCTAACAACAAGCAAAACCAGGAACATGAATGCCGATTTCTGTACATCTTTGATTCCGGCAGTATGAAAAATGACACACCCCCCTCACAATTATACAGAGACGTAATCGTAAAAGTAAGACAGTGTTTTAGACATGAATGATGGTACATACCTTTTAGGTCTTGATTGTGGATGGTCTTCACATGCCCTCGAAAACCACTCGCACTTTTATATTGCTTAGTGCATGTGGGACATTCATAAACTATATTAGAAAGGTTTTTAGCGGCCCTGACAGAAGTCATTGCGATCGTCGTGGATGGCTGCGAGTGCGACGATGCCTCCGACTCAGATTTGTCAACGTCTCCTTTCATGTACTCGGCAGCAACATAATCTGGTTCTTCTTCCAATATATCATTCCAATCGATATCACTGTCGTCGAAATTTACAAAATCCTCCCACATCTCGTTAAAATAACTATCGTCTCTCACGTTGAAATCAAAATCAAAACAAAGTGCATACGCATGCGTAGCAGTGAATCAAAAAGGCTTCTGGGTAAAAATGATGTCATACCCTCTGCTAATTTTATGTTAATAGCTAAGTAGGCTCGCGCTCACACTCGGTCGTCGGATTAACGAATAAACAACGAATAAACAATTTCGCGAAGGCGAAACACGCATTGAGACAAAAGAAGTATTAACGTTTCCCAACCGGGTGTTGAGGGACTGTGATTTGCTCTATTGGAAGAGCATCTCAAATTAGAAACGCATCTCCAATTAGAAACGCATTTCCAATTAGGAGCACATTTCCAATTAGGATCACATCTCCAATTAGAAGCGCATCACCAATTAGAAGTGCATCTCAAATAAGCATGTGAACTTCTAATAGAGCAAATACTGTATGTTGATACAAATACAAAGTACCAGTGACTACTGAATAAAAAGTAACATATAAAGTTCGGGATTTTGTTTATTTTTGTTGTGTTACCGTAGTTGATATGGCATGCTTTGACCATTGCGTATTCGTAATTATTTCTTGTTTCTTAATTCTAGTTGCATTCCAGACAATTTAGATTTCCGGTCTGGGATAGGCAAGAAGCCAGGTACCAATGTACCACCATTCTTGTACTGTGTACTGGAAGTACCGGACACAACCGTGAGTACCAAACATACAGCTTATTGCTGATTGATATTATGGTGTGTCCCCTGCTTCCATTCTGAATCAATTTTATATTTAAAAAAAAGGAATTTTGTTTCAATGAAAATCAAAGTTTAGATTATGTAAGCCCAGTGTGACGTGAAGGTCACATTTTCAGGTACATGTAATCATTATTGGGGCGAAAAACAATGTTTGCTTCTCGTTGTCATTCACATCAGTTTGAAAGCTGTTCCTCACATACACATTCTTGTGAAGTACGTCATGTATGATAGAATTGGGGAAATGTTTGTTTTCTATTTCAGACCATGTTTGGTGGATCCAAATCAACCTTGAAGCTAAATCTTCTTTTTTTTTACCATACTATTGAAATCAGTTAATAGAACAGTTGTAAAATTTACAGCAGGTTTTACAAATTTATTAGTTTTTTTGAATTATCGTAAATTAACAAGTTGCTGCCAATTTTAACAGTTAAAATATATTTGTTTATTTGTTGCAGCCCTTAGCATGTAGCCCTACCATGTCATTCTTCTATGGAAGACGTGGCCCATACTTGAAGTTGCTTCTTCGTGGTGATTCCAATGGTAGAGTGACAGTATGGAAGATGCCTGAAGTATCAGAGAAGGAACTCGGTTTTTTGAAACAAGAACAGTTCGATACATACCCAGGTAACATTCAAGTGAAACGTTGAGTGCAAGTATTTTATGTTGCATTCTGGGAAGTGACAGTCACAACACTAATAATAAACTTATCTAAAGTTCATTAAGCAGTTACTGAAGTCTGTTTTAGGTGCGATGTGTTCGCTACTATAAAACAACCTGAATTAGGAATTAAAACTTTTAAATTCTAACTTGTGTGTCAATGCTAAAATACTAGTATGATACAATCAAAACTGGATAATAGAATTAAAAAAGTGTTCAAATAGCATCATTTTCATATTTCCCAATGTATCACTGAAAAAATCCATGAAGTACATAAATATACATACGTGAACAAAATGTAAAATTGTCATAACTCAGCATTGCCAGAAAGATAAATTTAGGCGTAACGATATTTAGCTATTTTTTCACAGACATACATTCAGCCTTTGAATGCCAAAAGTAAATCAAAAAATGTTATCACAAATTTGTGGGCAGCAAATTAGCTCTATTAGAAGTACAATTTGTTGTATCTGAATCATTAAAGTTTTACATATTTTGACCATAGAAACACTTTTGTAATTTACATATTAATAAGTGTATGCTACTAATAGAAAAAATATGGTAATGGAAACTAAGTTAATACAAAATGAACAAAAACTAAATTATTGAACATTATATACCAATTTGCAAACTATTGCTTCAAAATTTTTATACAAATGTGTTCAAATAGATAACAATTAGATGTTATTTATTCCAGTGATGCTTCCAACAGTGTCCACCAGTTTATCTGATTTATGGAATTCACTAGAAGTCAAACCACCTGGAATCATAGATCAATTGGTAAGCCCGAATCAATCTTTAATAAAAAAACAACAACACATCAACAGTGGTTGGTTGAAACAGACAATAGAAAAAAATGTATTTTTCATGCATGTACTTTTTTTCCATCGTCATTCGTGTGAAAGTATTAATTCTGAAAACTTCTTTTTTCACTTCAAAAGTGATTACATGTGTCTGATTGATCTTTTTTTTTTCTCTTGCTTTCTCTCATCCTTTTTTCACATTACTGCAATGTTTGTAATCTTTCAATGCCTATTTGTCTCTTTATCTGCTCATTTCTTCTGTCCAGTGTATTCGTGATAAAACAACCGACAAGGTATGGGGAAGTATCTTGAAACTCCTATTTTGTGTGAAATTAACAACATAAGTTTGCACGCATGTTTTTTTTTCTCTCTAAAGGGTTGTTTCTTAACTTAACGCCAACTCTTTCGCATAATACATGTAGTTACAAATATTTCTGATAATACCCTGGTGGGCGTGTACCCCAAATTCAGTCACAATATCTCTTTTTGAGAAATCTTAGGTGTCTGTATGAGAAATACAAACACAAATTATTGAAACGTTACGTCAATGACTGCCTTAAAAAACAGAGGTAACTCATCAAATGGCAGAGATGGCAAATGAGTTCTGCTGTTGCTTTTGTACCCATACAAGTGGTGACTAGAAACATTATATTCTTCTGGAGAAGGGCTAATATGATGTCTATATCGCTAAATGTGCTTCATCAATAATTCATAAATAATGAAAATGATTTAAAAAAAATCTGAATAGTACAATGTGACTATGTATGCTAGTTGCAGACATCCAGCATTCTATTTTCAGTCTTCCAGATCTCTCTCATTTCAGTCCCCATTGAACAAAGTTCAGACTTATAGTCTAGTGTGTCCATTTATGCATCCAGAGCTGTATATCAGACACCCCAGGACCATTTAATTTTCTTTAAACTTCACACATATTTCATATCGTATTTGATATATATAAGTAACTGTTACTGCTGGTACTAAAGGTTATTGTATGTCACTTTGATTAGTAAAGTCAACTCAAGATGGCTGACTCATCTATATCAGCACACTCAAGTACTGCATCATCAGATGCTTTTTGCATGTGTACAATTCTTGAAGTTATGAAAAAGCAATGTAAGAATGTTCACTATGCACAGGTCTAGAAGATAAATTATCCTTGAATGTGTATAGTTTTGAGATTGAATATGAATAAAGTATGCGCTTTGGTCATTTTACGAGTCACGCTGATTGTGAATAGAAACTCTCATACATATAATTCGTGCTATGCTGTTGACATTTGATTTCTTGCAACCGTATGTAAACATGATGTGTCATTCATTGTCACATGTATGTTAATCACGTATGTCCATGGTGAAATATACCATGAGATACAGGTCTTCACTCTGCTGTTCTACGTGGCATACCAAAACTACTCTCACTTTATAACACACAACAGAATTTTATATGCCAATGGTCTTTAAGGATAAGTGCACAATATTATGAGGATTTCATCCCAGGCTATGTACTGATTTGCAGTGAGCAAGACTGGTGTATTGACTCAATTAAAATGTCATAAAATATGCAAATTCTGTCACGATAAATGGTGTTATAGCTTCACAGTCGTCACACTGTATCATGTTGGACATTGCTCTTGTGTGACGTATACATGTGTAAAAAACATTATATAACATGGTCAGTCTAAATCTAGCAATCTGATTGGTCTTGTGTTTTTGGCACATACAACCCTCCATCCCCTTTCCCATCCCACACTAGGATACTGTGTATTTACTACCCTCCATATTCTTCTCTACACGACACTAGCATAATGCTGTACTTACAATCCTCCAGCCCACACATACACATTGCCATTATTGCCATCATGGACAAGTGGTTCATTGCATATACCCAACTTACTCATAGCTGTTTTTTTGCTTTCATGGCTGAATATCCATTACTAATAAACCCACTTTTCCATTAATACCTGTATAAACAAACCTCCAGCCTCTTACCTGCCCATATGAACTCTAACCATTATTTAGATGTTTCTTTATTCAGTTTTATTCATTTGGATGGATTCAAATTCGCTACTAAGCTTTTGGGCTTGTGCAAGACATACTTCTAATACTATAGTTACATGGAAACTGGAAATCTTATGTTGTTACTTTCTATACTGAACACAAGTTTTGTTTGAATCTAATACAGAGTGTGAAATCCAACCAACATCCTGATGAGATCTTAGCTGTGACTGCCAGTATATATTTACCAATGCAAGGTAGACTAGTCTGTGGTAGAGAAGATGGCAGCATAGTTATTGTACCAGCCACACAGACAGCTATTGTGCAGCTATTACAGGGAAGACATACTGCAAGGAGAGGTATGTGTTTCCCAATTCCTTTATTTCTTTTTTTCTATGCATACCCAGAGTTGGTTCATTTGACCATTCAGTTTGTGGCTTGACGACTGAGCTGTATTTTATCGGGCGTCGCCGAGCAGGTTAAATTTGTAGACTTGTGGATAACGCAACGTCTTGTAGTATGTAACTCGTCAAACACTGTTTATTGTCAACTGACTAAAGTTTAGAACAATACAAAAAACTACACTCTTGAGCTTGTGAGCTCATGAAAACTGCAAAAGAAGAACGTAATCGAACAGTAATAAAGTAGGCGTTGGTCATATTCATTGGTAATACTTAGCGTTCTCGCTGCATTCAGCAACATAGTTTGCAGAGGAAAAAACAAACAAAATGGTCAACTGGCAACTGTTTTTGACTCCCGTGTGTCTGTCTGTGTGTCTGTGTCTGTGTGTGTGTGTGTGTGTGTGTGTCTCTGTGTCTGTGTGTGTCTGTTCCACTGATATCTCAAGAACCATACATTGATTTTTGATGAAACTTTGTGCATAGATGCTCTGGGCCGATGCGCAGATTTGATTAGGTTTTGGTAAAAATCCATGCATATTAATTACCTAATTTGCGTGATAATTAGCTGATTTTTAGCTGTTCCATGATTGTTCCACTGATATCTAAAGAACCACTTTAATATTGGATTTTGGTGAAACTTGGTACATAGATGCTCTGAAATTATGCACAGATTTGATATGTTTTGGGTAAAAATCTGTGCAATATTAATTACCTAATTTGCATAATGAGTAATCAATTTTTGGCTTTTCCACTGACATCTCAAGTACTATTCATCACATTTCAATAAAACTTGGTACATAGATATCATAGAACACTGCACAGACCTGATAGTTTTTAGGGTAATATCAGTACATATTAATTACCTAATTTGCATAATTAATTAATTTTCAGCTTTTGATATTTTAAGTAGTAATCATCACATTTCAATGAAACTTAGTACAAAATTACTTGAAGACTGTTCAGAGACCTGATTAGTTTTGGGTAAATATTTGTGCATATTAATCACCTTATTAGCATAATTAGTTAATTTTCAGCTTTTCGCCTGATAACTCAAGTACTGATCATCATATTTCAATGAGACTTCTACATAGGACTATGCAGAGACCTGATTAGTTTTAGGGTAAATAATTGTGGATATTAATTACCTAAATCGCATAAGTAGTTAATTTTTTCCATGAATGTTCCACTGATATATAAAGAACCACTAATTGGATTTTAATGAAACTTTTATAGAGTATTCATCATCACATTTCAATGAACCCAGGACTATGCAGAGACCCAATTAGTTTTTGGTAAATATTTATGCTTATTAATCACCTAATTAAAATAATTAATTAACACTGATATCTCAATTACTGATCATGACATTTGAATAAAATTTGGTACATAAATGCTCTAGAACAATAGACAGGCCTGATTAATTTTGGGTTGAAATTTGTTCATATTAATTAGTTGTTTTGTTCTAATCACATTTCAATGAAACTTGGTACATAGATATTACATTACGCAGGCCTTATTAGTTTTACACTCAAATCTGTTCATATCAGTTACCTGATTTTACATAATTAGTTTTCAGCTATTGCATCAAAATCTCAAGTACAAGTAATTTTGAATTAATTTTTAATGTGTCTTCAATACTCTCTCAGCACACGGGAGCTCTTTCTAAGCTTTCTTTGATTGCTGTAAGATGTCAGTACTGTACTCCTGTATTCCTGTCATTGCTTTAAATGATGGTAGTGTATTAAAATTTGTACAAGATGAACAAACTTTCATTGTTTCTCTGAGGATGGGATCCAAAGTTAATGATGACTGTTATGTCCAACAGTAAAATTAGTTGGAGTTTACCAGGTGCTTTTGACAAACTGAGGTTAACACAAATAAATAGCCCATAACATTTTTAATGTATATGTAAAGTTCCTTGTATTTCCAATATAAACTTACCAACGCATTAAACATGTGTTGGTAGGTTTAAACCATGGCTTTGGGTGTATAAAAGGAAAGACGGTGAACAGATTTCAGTATGCAAATTGCACTTCATGGTGATTTAACAGGGTGCTCCATGAAATGGCTCTTTTTGATAATCAGAGTGCAAGGAGAATTTATATTTTATATAATGAATGCCGGTTTAGAAAATAAATACTAAAAACCTATACAGCATCCTTAAGACTCTTAGTAAAATATCCGTTCATCACTTCACCATTCCCCTAACTTCATGGAAATTTGTTTTGTACAAAATTAAAGCGATGTCAATATATAAAATGCCATAGTGTAATTTTTTTGACTTTCCTTGCTCTTGACAATCAGTTTTAACACATTGTCACAGAGCCTCAACAAGATAGATAGCCAAAACGAATGCGAAAAATCAGTGTCAGCAGGTTAGTTCCTTGAATGATGATTGTAATTCATGACAACATTTTTGATGCAGGTTGGCCGCCTCATCGTATCTTACGCGGCCACCGTGGTAAAGTCAATTGCTTGATGTACCCGTTCCAAGAAAGCAGTCGTTATGAACCACAATACCTGGTGTCTGGTGGTGTAGATTTCTCAGTCTGCTTGTGGGATCTTTTTACTGGCTCATTAATACATACATTCTCTGTGCATGGTGGTGAGATAACTCAGATACTGGTGCCACCAGATATGTGTAATGTAAGTACACTGTGTTTTATTTCCTTACTGGCTCATTTAAAGAATAGGAAGGAATGTCCACAGCTTTGGTTTTTTGATTGCAACCAATTTCAAGGGCAGAATGAAAAACTAATTGACTTTGTGATGTAAATACTGTGAAAGGGTTAATTATTCACTGGGTTTTAATTTTGCTTATTTTGCTGACTGGAAAATGCGCTAAATTAAAACCCAGTGAATATGTAAAATTTAGCATGGAACACATTATCTAAATGATAAAACCATGAATTTAAAACCCACTGAATATGCCTTAAATGCTGAATCAGTGAAATTTTAAACAGTAGTTTAATTTAAACAGAAATTTACAGTAGTTGAATATTTTTAAGATTATCAAGACAGTCTGGTGGGGTTTCTAAGGCTTTCTGTGTTCACCTTGAATTTAGCGTGCTAAGCATATGCTGTAATTCTACACTATATGAAACCACATACTCTCTATATTTAGGGGATCAGTGGCTATCACCATGTAATGTAATTGCTATATGTCCTTATCTCACAGTATACACGTACTTCCCTATTACTAGTTTATAATGGGAGAATCTCACTTCTACCATTTACATAAGTACATGCACTTTTAATAGAGCCATTATGGTATGGCTTTCCCATGATTCCTTGGTGCATCCCAGGGATTAATACATTTCCCTTTAAGAGTATACGTAGAAGCTCCAGGTGGAAGCTTATGCACAATTCCTCTGAAATTAGGAAAAATCGCCACCAAAGTAATGTTTAGAATATTGGGTTAAGACAGCAATGATTGTCATTTTTTTAGCATAATTTCCATAGAACATGATAATAATTATTTAATTTTTAATTTATTTCTAAAATTCATTTTAAAAATTAAAAGTAATTCAAGAATCTATTTGAAGTATTAGGGAATGTTTTCACCTTTTTCTGAACCCATCTTTCTGTTTTTTATAGTCTCGTGTCCAGACCTGTGTCTGTTCTGTTGCCAGTGATCATTCAGTAGCTCTGCTCAGTCTTAGAGATCGTAAATGTGCCATGTTAGCCGGACGTCATCTTTTCCCTGTACGTAATATCAAATGGAGACCAGCTGATGACTTCCTGATTGTTGGAACCAACGATGATACTGTGTATGTCTGGCAAATGGAAACGGGTATGTTACAGTTACCATGGAAATTAGTTAACTTATTCCAAAGTTGATATTTTTATCTCAATCTTCTATTCTTTACAGTATATTTTACTACTGTGAGATTCATTATTAAAATAAAAGTGTTGACCTCGTTGTACCATTCAGAATTGCATACAGTGTGAAATCAAACTAAGGGGAGAGTAGGAAATCAAACGGGCGGTGCACCGCGGTCATTACCGCGGTGGTGGTGGATGCTCGCCGGTCGACCACATTTTATGCAAATTTATGCATAGATTCCATGACGCCGGCTGACCGCGGTCGTCCGCGGTGGGCTCGCACAGCAATTCACACTTATTGTCAAGACCATTAATAAACACAAAGAACTGGGAAATTAAAAGGACCACAAACTTCTAATGAAAAATTAAACCAATTTAGCTGATCCAAAAGCTAGAAAACTAGTCTATAATAGTTGACATTCATTTATTTGCCTGAGCCTTGGAATAAAATCACAAAACGATCCAGAAAGACGTAGAGATCAACATACAAATGTAATATAAAATATGATCGCATTATTTTGTGAATATATATCATGCATGGTCTCAGAAAATGTTCAGAAAGTTTAATATTTCGCGTAGACCAAATATAATCACGCATAAGTATAAATTCAAAGTGTTTTAATACATTGGTGAGAGGTCGAATTTACGTGAACAAGAACATGCACTAAGAAGGAAAAGCAAGCCAAAGTCGAAACAGGGTGTATCATGGACTTGGTACAACATGCGCTGCGCCAATTGAGTGATCGTCAACATCATTTTGGGGCACAATTGAACTTCAAGTATGTTGCGAAACTTGCTACGCGGCGATGCTAACATCAATTGTGTGATGACCGAAGTTTGACCCCAAGTCACGCACTGAACTGGTGCGTTACCTTAGCAACCCTTTTCTTTTTTGGTCCGCACGTCGATTTCGTAAAATTGTTATTATATCCGGCGGTACTGTAATAACACAACCTGTATCCAATTCTGTATCGGCTTTGAATATTTCAACATTGTTTACTTAGTGTGCTGCTTTTCTAATAACGCAAATATGTTTACAGTATTGCACTGGCTCTAAATATTTCAACTTTGCAATGTATTGCTTTTATAATAATTACGCAAACTAAGTTATTGTTGGGACACTAACCCGGGCTATTAAAGTGAATATGTAATATTAACCATACAATAACATACAATATCATGCGTAATGTTAACTTTTTCTATAATAAACTCGCAGTGCACTTCGATCGCATTATTCACGTACATTTCAACTGAACTCTAATAACCACGTGTTTGAATTACGTGCGGCAATGGGCAATGACCTCAATGAGTTCACGCACCGACATTTAAATTCGGGCCACCCAGTTTGACGCGAAACGATACAGTTACTTAACATTTGTTCAAAAAATCGATAAACTCTCACAAATACCATGAACGCGAAGAGTTAACTGAAAGGCAACGTTGTTTTTGACCCCCAAAAAAACACATCAATACAAGATTATGTGTGCAAGGTTAGATTTATAGAACGTAAATGACCGCTTAACTCTGTGTTTTTTTAATAATCATGTCGCACGTGAAACACAGGAGACATTTTAGTTCGTCCATTTCTTGTTTACCGATCTTGAACTTTTTGTCTGGAATGTGATACTGGCAAAGAATAAACATTAATGATACCCACCGTTGTCAAATCAACAAGAGGCTTGAATCAGGAAGGCTCGACTATTTAAAACTTCGTAAATAACATTCATTTCATGTGGTAGACTTTGTTCAAGTGTAACAAACGTAAGTGAAATGTATGGACGAGTCATAATACTCGTACCTTCGAAAGTTACGACTTTTACTCTTGGAATTGGTGATAAATACATGCATAAAATACAACATTGTTTCACGCAGCAACACTTCGTATACAGCATTGGACTTATGGATTTTTATATTAATAAAATATGTGGGCCGATAATATTACCATATGCTTAGTATTTCCATGCCAACAATGCTCGTAACCTACTCGATTTAGCTATTTGAAACAAAGACTCATGGAATCACAAAGGAAATTTTTAAGTACGTATTTCACACCTTTCCTTAGACCACAGTTGCAAACGTTACCGGTGACCACCACGGTAGAGACCCCTAATTATAAGCAGTCCGCGGCTCTCCTCGGTGTACCGCGTAGAGCCGCGGTGAACCTCCCGTTTGATTTCCTACTCTCCCCTAAATCTTATGTATGCCTGTTTATACCATTAAAACATCACTATGAGGTTGTGTTTGTTAAGATGCTGTTTTGAACTTTTTTGGGGGGAGGTGGTTGACTATGGCGTACTCAGATGAGTGTCAACTTAGAGTGGCAAGGCACTTTTCCATGATCGAGAAATTAATCTCATGTAAACTATGTTTATCTTGTCACTGTAAGAGCATGTTAATTCAGACGTTGTCAGGAGAAAGTTCAATTAATAAGTTTGTTTACTTGTTGTGTTTGTCTCAAGATAAAGACACTAGTTCTTCTCTGGTTGTATATTTTCAGGTCATCTTGATAGGATCGTACACGGCAGTACTGCTATTGAAATTCTCAATGCATGTGATGAGACCTTGAAAGCTGATGAGGTCATGCTGAGTCCCGCACAGAGTATCGCGCAATCATTGAAACGTCGCAGCCTGACACCGCTGAAGAACGCAGCACATAGAAGTATTATTGCTGCAGCAAATCAAGCATTAGGGATTCAGACCTCCACAGGTGATACTCCGAAAGTTGCGCAAAACTCTCTGATGATCCAGCCAATCAGGACCAACACTAAGGATTATGACTCGCACGTACTGTTTTTTGATACCGAGGCCCTCATTGTGCAATTGTTGACAGACGATAATTTGATTCCGGGAATTATTACCCCGCAGAGCACAGCCAATCTGACGGACTCCCAGAAAGCGGCCGAGAAACATACATCATCTCCTAAGCTTGCGCAGAAAGTTGCTGGATTCATCAAGAAGGAGATTGAGAAGTTACGTGACGATTCTTCTGATGAGAGTGGCAGTGAAGCTGCATCGGCAACACCAGAACTAAAGCGTAAATCTGTGATGACTAACAAAGAAGATCCAAAGAACCAGCAACGGAAATCGAAAAATTTAACATTGCTTGAAAGTAATCTAACTTTAGATATTTCACAGTTGTTCATGTCCTCACTACATGCTTGGGGACTAGATCGGAGCTTGGACGAAATTTGCCTGACAAAACTGGGACTTCTAAAACCTCACAGTCCAGTATGTTTTGGTCTCTTCTCACGTGGCGGTCACATGTCCCTCATGCTACCCGGCTGGCATAAGTTTGTAAAGCCAGAGGAACCTCCTCCAAAAGGTAAACCTGTGGATCCCATGCAAGAGATGAAACTTTCAGCCAGAGAGGCCTTAGAACAGAAGAGGTCTGCCAAGGACTCTTTAGAGCAGAAGATGTCACCTAAAAAGCCAGGTATCGGTGAGAAGAGCAGCAGAGCTTCACACTTAGGACACTGGGAGTTATCACGAGCTGTCACAACACAGCATTTACTATCAGTTATATCGGTTGCTAATACATTAATGAGTATGAATAATGCCAGCTTTCTTTTACATTCTGTCGTCGCCAAGAAGAAAGTGTAAGTTTATAAAATTTAGATTTTATTGTGTCTGTGCATATATCCATAACTGTAGATACGATAAAAGTGAATCAAATCTCAGATCATCTCGTATAGTTTTTTTTCATCTAACCAAAGGTTCTCTTGTATGTCAACAATTTAAGCTTTATTAAGTAAAACGGGCCCCTCCTAAACTCAAAAGCGTGTATTGCAAGACCCCCTAGCTTAGCATACTTTATTAGACTCCCTCGCGACATATAGAACATAGCAGGTTTTATCAACTATATTTCATTCTAATGAGTTAAAGTGAATATTTGAAATTTTCTTCTTTTTTAAAAAAATAAAACAGAATTCTGACTACTGCATGTGAAATTATGGCCATTTGGTCCTAAATTAACAACAAAATTATATATAATTGTGATAAATACTGCTTATATGCATTTTTTGAGAGAAAAAGTTGTGGTCACGACCAAAGGATGTAAAATTAATTTTCAGAGCATAACAAAATACTGTACAACTAATGATGTTATTGATTACAGTCGTCATAGAAGTTACAGTCATGGTATTGCTATCACCACGACTGCTGACAGTGATTCTGATGACTCTTCAGATGGAGAATTAGCGGATATGACACCACAACAGGCACAGATCAAACAGGGTAAGACTTTACAAAATACATTGGTTTTCTGGTGAACCATGCTTGTCAGAAAGAATCATTCCAAACCAATCCATTTCTTTTTATTGACATTTAAAGTTGCATTCTGATGGCACTCATAGTGCTTTCAGTCTAGTCTGAATTTTCGCACATTGCAGGAAAAAAAATGAGGACTCGCTGTAATTTGCAGTAATTTGAAATCTTCATGAATCCATATGCGTTGAAACACTATTCAAAAGTGCTGAACAAAATAAATTCAAACATACATCAGATAAGTAGCTGAAACATTATTTATTGTACAGACGTCCTGAGAAGCATTGAATATATAATCCTTGCAATTTCCATTCAGACATGCTGAGATTCATTAAATTTTGAGCTTTTGGAATATCTTTCTCGCAAATTCTATACAGATGTGCTGAAAAGCACTGAAATTTGAGTGTTGCATATACATTCATACAAATTCTGATCGAGTATTACACACAATAGTACCTGGCATGCCCCCCCCCCCCCCCATTAGACATGTGATTCTTTTGTCTAAACAAGTGTGAGGGCGCTATTTGTATGCCGACAGTAAATTAGCTTATAATAAATGCTCACCAGCTTTTTTCATCTCTAGTACAGGGGTGTTCACATCAGCCGCTATCAACATGAAAAATTTGACAGCAGTCTATTCAGTGGTTTCATTCAAAAATGCTGCGGCTATGATAACAAAGGCGTTATCATCAGCTAATTACACCGTAGTGTTTAACTCTTTATGGCTAATAATGAATTCATAACTATTGCTGTTTGCTTGGTAGGATGGAGTCTATTAGCGGCTTTACATTGTGTCTTACTACCTGATCTGTTGGGAAGTGAATATTACAAACCACCACAGTTAGAAATGTTAGCACGAAGATGGCAAGATAGATGTCTGGAGGTAAGTTTGTTCAAACATGAAATACAACAACAAATATCAACTATTAAATGAATCAGTTTGAGGTGTTGGCAAGAAATAAACTTCATGAAAGCTTTGGCTTTGTTTGAAGAACTCCATGGTATCTGTGCTTCAACAACATTCTTAAGATTTTCTACAGTTATTCCATTCTAAAGTCATGTTCCATTTTAAAGTGTGGTTTACAGAAATTATTCTGTTGGCTGAGACAAGTTTATTCTATTATTTGTGACAGGAAACATAAATTCTAAAAAAAAAATTTGTTTTAAGCAGAAAATATTTGTAACTGCCAATTGCGTTTGTTTGAAATGGTGTCTCTAAGCATTTTGTGATAAATAATTTTTGGAGACGTTCGATTCGGATAAAAAAAAAAACTGAAATAGGAGCTGACATATTTATATCTTTTATGGTGACGAAATAGTTTTGAAATTTCCGAAAAGCCAAGTAATGCATTCGGGGTTGTCAATGCTGTCCATGTTGTCAACATGTGCTGAATGATGCTCTATTTCTTTTTTTTTTTTTGCATTTTCAGAATATATTATCGCAAATTATCTTTATGCAATATCAAATGCATGTCACACTGTTTTGTCAAATCACAGATTATTTTACCTTGACGCTTTGAGCATATTTTTTTTCTCATCAAATGTGGTGTAACAATTTTTACATTTTCATGCTATACATGTAATTTATTTTTGTACCAAATGGACGTACTATTCCATTGACTACAGATATTGATCAGATGTTTTGGGGAAAAAAATTTTATTTCGTAAAAAGTGACGAAAGTTGACTTGGGTTCAAGATGTATTGAAATGTATTCCTAATGTTGTGTCCTGTTCCAGGTCAGAGAAGCAGCACAGGCGCTTCTATTAGCCGAACTGAGGAGAATTGGATCAGAGGGTCGTCAGGATGTTGTCAATCGTTGGGCCCACTATCTTCCTAATTACGTTGACCCAACATTGAGTATCATGACCCATGTTGCCCAAGGTCCAGATCCAGACAGAATAAGTCGAGGCGCAGATGGCCAATCAGATGGAAGTGGTGAAGACAGTACTGATATGGAAAACGAGGAAGAAATCTTATCAGGTAAACCATTTTTCTTTGCCAATCAGTGACCAACATAACTTTCTAGAAATTATAAAATAATTTTGTGAAACTAATACATTATTTTTAGCTCCGCTGTCGACTTTGTCGAGCGGAGCTTTATCATATGAGTGATTGTCCGTTGGCGTCCGTCGTCGTCCGTGTCAATGTTTTACTTTTTCGACTTCTTCTTGAAAACTACAAGCCTGAATGCTTTGATACTTGGTGTATATGTACCTTGGGTAGACCTCTCTTAGGTTTGTTCATATCATGTTGATATCTTCAATTCTCTAATTTTGGTGAATATTTTTGTCATTTTTGGTAAAAAGTGATATTTTCGACTTCTTGCTAAAAACCGCAAGTGCAATTGCTTTGATATTACATATATAGGTACTACATGTGGACCTCTCTCAGATTTGTTCATTTTGTGATGATATCTTCAATTCTCTAATTTTGGAGAATATTTTTGTAATTTTTGGTAAAAAGTGATATTTTCGACTTCTTGCTAAAAACCGCAAGTGCAATTGCTTTGATATTACATATATAGGTACTACATGTGGACCTCTCTCAGATTTGTTCATTTTGTGATGATATCTTCAATTCTCTAATTTTGGAGAATATTTTTGTCATTTTTGGTAAAAAGTGATATTTTCGACTTCTTGTTAAAAACCAATAGTTCAATTGCTTTGATATTACATATATAGATACTACATGTAGACCTTTCTCAGATTTGTTCATTTTGTGATGATATCTTCAATTCTCTAATTTTGGTGAATATTTTTGTCATTTTTGGTAAAAAGTGATATTTTCGACTTCTTGTTAAAAACCAATAGTTCAATTGCTTTGATATTACATATATAGATACTACATGTAGACCTTTCTCAGATTTGTTCATTTTGTGATGATATCTTCAATTCTCTAATTTTGGTGAATATTTTTGTAATTTTGTAAA